ACTTAACACGAAGGGGTTTGACAACTCGTTAAGGATTAACAAATAAAAATTCCAAGCATTATGTCCGGACTCTAACAATGAAAGTGTTGAGTGTACAGACATAGTAGGAGTTTGAGTGGATTAAACCAGAAAGAATTTTAGTGGACCCCCGTCAATTAATTTGATCAGTGAGGGATTTTGTGATGGAAGATTGTAAATCATCAACACCAGTGGGAGTTTTTTGTGAGGGAAGATTGATCCAATGAAGTGATCAAATCTCATCTCAGCAAAAGAGTGCTTGGAAGTTGGTGGAATTGATCCCGACAATAAGATGTGTTTCACCCTTGAACATTCAGAGTCCGAGTGGGAGCTTCTCATTTATCACTTCTTTGTAGTGACCTGGTTATCCCTAAGAATACACCATATAGCATTTTTCGAGAACTTCTCGTTACATGAATCATCCACCCCCAGCTTCCTTTGTGAAATCGGGTCTAACATTGTACTTAGTTAGATGACCGGGTTATCCTTAAGAATACCAAGCATAACACTCTCTAGGAACTTCCCGTGAAAAAAAGGAAATAGTTTAGACTCATATACATGTTGGAGTATTGAGAAGCAGTTTATACTCATATACTCTTCAGAGTGTGCATTCGGCTTAATTTAGCGTTATGACGCCAGCTTCAACCAATATTTGAATGCTATTTTTTAGAGCAAAGCAAGCATTGGTAGGATAAAGGATCCTTCTATGGTACGCACAGTACTTTGGATCCGTAGTATTGTCAGCTTCCTCCGGATTTGCGATAGGTGGTAGCTTGATCTTGTTGTTCTCAAGGAGGGATTCGAAAATGGCTGGAACATTTTCGTCCTTGAAGGAGTACTCTTTTTGGAGTCTCGGATCCGAAGTCTTTTGCTATCTTCGGGGTTGTTGTTGCGACGTCTGATTAACGTCAACAACTGCTGCAGGTGCCCTCCCCTTACTACGGGAGATGAAGCTTGAGTTCGAAGGGTTAGCCGTCGGTTGGCTTCTTTCGGCTTTCTTCCTTTTGAGGAAGCGTTCAGCCTGCTCTCCACACACTTCAACTCTTTTCAGGTGTTGGACGGTGATACTCCCATAACTTCTAAAATATTAATGAATAGGTTGTTATGACAGGTTTGGAGGATGAAGTCCTCTGTGACTGGATCTTGACAATTCATCGTCTTATTTCGGAAGCGCTTGATGAAGTCGTCAACCGCCTCTTCATCTTCCTGTTTCTCCTCAAAGAGTGTCCTGATGGATACCTCGGTGTCGTCGTCAAAGAAATTGCTGAGAAATAAGCTTTCCATTTCGTCATAGCCGTTGATGCTTCCAGGCTTGAGACGACGGTACCAATTGAAGGCAGGCCCGCGAAAGGTGCCAACGAATGACCAGACCATCAAAGGCTCGTTGCCAGAGATCACTCCTAAGTGAGACTTGAAATAAATCAAGTGTTGAGTGGGGGAGCTCTTCCCATCAAATGACGTGAAGTTGATCAGGTTGAACTTCGCTGGATACATGATCGACTCCAACTCTCTTGGATAGGGACTCGGAATACCGATCTTCTTCACCTCTCGAGCAGACATCAGAGCGTTGATTTTGCTCTCGATGTCTTTCATCTTCTCGTCCTCGTCTGTATCATGCTTTGGACGATTTCTAAGAGGAATAACGCAGCCACTCCTAGCATTGTCATCTTCGGTAGGACCACCCCTAACGTCGTTATCTTCAGTAGGGCTACCCCCCAACGTTCTGGTCAGCCAGAGGGTTGTCTCCATCGAGGTGTTCGTTCATATCTGAATTGCTACCTGCTTGGTTAGCAATGTTACGACGGCTGGATTCACCAAGTTGATTAGACAGAGCCCGATCTATTGGTCATGCTCTTCCTTCATCCGTATCATGGCTATTTCCAATTTGAACTTGAAGTTCTGTTTTTGCTTAGCCAAAGCATCCTCGATGATTTTGGCCATTTGCTCGGTGTTGATCGTAAGTGCGTCGCGGGATTATCCTAGGCTGGATACCGTATTATCAAAAGCGATTGCAGAGTTAGCATCTGATGCTTCAACATTCGAGGATAATCCCCTCTGTATTCTCTAGCAATCCCTTTGTCTAATGGTTTCCGATCGCAGCCAGGTTAGACGATGCGATATGAGCGGGTCAGAACTAGAAGGTTGAGTTGACTTTCCTCTATCAGCCATGTTAATTGTGACTTCCGAAAGTTCGTCATCTTAAACGGATGATCATTTCTTGCTGATAAACACGTAAAATATGCATTATCTTAGTGTGTTACAAGCATGATTTACAAGTGTTTAATGCATATTTCGTATTTAGATCGAGGATATTGCTGTGGTTTGTGTTCTTATATGTAGGTATTGGCTCAAGATTGAAAGATTTGATGATCGTTGGAAGTTATACAAGAGTTTGAAGCAACAACAAGATTTCGAAGGCATGGTTCGTGAAGAAAATGGATGCACTAGTATGAAGAACTGGAATTTCGACCATGATGCAATTCGAATCAAGAAAAACTCAAAAGATGAAAGTTGTAGATCTCTTCAACATATTTCCAACGCAATTTGAATCACCTCATTCCGAGGTCGGACGCAAAAGTTATAACAAAAATACCAAAAACTAAAGAAACAAGCACAAAATCAGCAAAACAGCCCCTACCACACCCTGGTGTGGTGCAGACCACACCTATGGCACGGGAATTAGTTATTTTCTAGATTTTTGGGGACATATAAATAGATGTTTTGACTTAGGGTTTTGGATATCTTTTGTTATGTTATGTTAGCCATCAATTAGCAATTATTTTGGAGTTCAAGTATTGAAGAAAGACACTAATTTCTTGTACAAGATTGGATTGCAAGTTTTGATTTTGAAGATCTCAATTGAAAGACGGGTTAATTCTTTCCTCTCTTTGATTTATTTCTTCTTATGATTGATTTGCGTAATTATTTAATGTATTATCTTATCCCAATCATGTGTGAGTAGTTTTCTTGTCTAGGATTGGGAAAGAACCCAACTTTTTGGTGATTGATAATGAATTGATATAGGTTCTTGGTAAAAGTTTAAATCTTTAAACTTGATTTCTAGTGTTTTAATTTTGTTGATTCGCTTGATCACCGTATTAGCAATCATAGGTAGTTAATTGAAGGACTGAAAGGTGAAGATTAATACCGGATCTCTAGAAATTAAGCAGGGAGCTCGAACCACGAAAGTAGGCTAGATTCCTTGGGGATTTAATTTGGATTAGCATAAAGCTTAATGGGTTTAACTTAATCTTAATTCCACGAAAGTAGGTTAATTAAGATTAATTAGGCACGATCTTTAGACCTTGAAAGAGGCTTTAGATTAATTTAGGCTAATTCACCCTTTTTAGTTTAAACCAACACCGAGAACTGAAATAATTCATCAGTGAGCATTCGAAGTTGTGGTGATAACCCAATCCTGGCTCTTCATTATATTGAATTTCCACCTGATTAGTTATTATTTTATTTCTTTTAATTTTCATCTCTTCTAATTTACTCATTAGTTTAGCTAGTCGAATAACGTGAGGTTTGGTAATTAACCCTAGTCCCTGTGGGATCGACCTTGATAGCTACAACGAGTCTGTGCGCTTGCAGATTTTACCCATCAAGTTTTTAGCGCCGTTGCCGGGGACTACGGTGTTAATATTGAGTTCTTACGTTATTAAGCTAGACTAGATTTTTTATTTTATTTTTATTCTCTTCGCTTCTCACTTTCTTTTATGCAAGGGCATCAAACAGAAGTACACAACGAAAACAATCCTGAATTATTGGTGACTCTTCCAGAGATAAGAAGGTATATAAGGGAGCAAAGGAACACAGAACAAGCTACAATGGGTGATCAGAATCAGCTTCTTAAGGATTTCGCTGCCCCAAATGCTCAAGGCACACATTCGAGTATTACAAGGCCCACTGTTGAAGCTAATAATTTTGAGCTTAAACCATCACTGCTCTTAATGGTTTAGCAAAATCAGTTTGGAGAAGGTGCTACTGAAGACCCGAATCTCCACCTGTTAATTTTTTTGGAGTATTGCGACACTTTGAAGCTTAATGGAGTGACCAATGATGCTATTCGACTCAGATTATTTCCGTTCTCTTTAAAGGACAAGGCTAGGGCTTGGTTGCACTCATTGCCCGCTGGGTCCATCACCACTTGGGATCAGTTGTCCAGGGCATTTCTTGCAAAGTATTTCCCCCCAAGTAAAACAGCACAGATGAGGAACCGGATCACAAGCTTTGTACAGAAGGAAGGAGAGTCACTCTATGAAGCTTGGGAACGCTACACGGAATTATTAAGGATGTGCCCTCACCATGGACTGGAGAAGTGGTTAATTGTTCACACCTTCTATAACGGGCTCACTTACAACACTCGGATGACTGTTGATGCTGCAGGAGGAGCTTTGATGAACAAAACAATAGATGAGGCATACACTCTCATTGAATACATGGCTCAAAATCACTATTAATGGGCGAACGAGCGAGCTCAGACATCAAAAGATGGCAAGTATGAAATAGATGCTTTAGATCATATATCCTCTAAAGTTGATGCTTTATTTAAAAAGGTTGAAAGCTTGAGTATTAATTCTGTGGCGTCTACTTCAATTGCATGTGAGATATGCGGTTATGTGGGTCATTCTGCACTTGAATGTCAATTAGGAAACCCCTCATCCCTTAATACTTCTGATAATGAACATGTTAACTATGTTAATAACTTTAATCAGAAGGTAGACCCTTTCTCCAACACTTATAATCCGGGGTGGAGGAATCATCCTAATTTTTCTTATAGAAACCCACCTGGAAATTCCATGCCCGCATCTAATTTTGGTCCACCTGGTTTTCGTGCTCCTCAATCTAATCTCCCTCCCCAAAGGTCTAATTTGGAAAATATGATGGAAAAGTTTGTGATGACTCAGTCGAAATTGAATGAAGACTTTAAACAATAACAACAAACCACCAATGAGGTAGTAAAATAATTGGCCTCCAAGATGGATTCCCTAGCTACACATAACAAGATGTTAGAGACACAAATCACTCAATTGGCGCAAAATGCTAGCTCTTCTTCTAGGCCTTCAGGCATGCTACCTGGACAACCTGAGACGAATCCCAGAGGTCATGTGAATGCTATAACCCTTAGGAGTGGAAAACAATATGAGGGACCTAAGATGAAGGAATATGATGGGGGAAATGGTCATCATGAAGAAAAAAGTAAAATTGTGATAGATGTGGATAATGAGACCCAGATGCAGGAAGAAGAAAAAGTTGAGAAATATGTGGCCCCCGCTCCTTACAAGCCTCCTCTACCATTCCCCCAAAGGTTAGCTACGGCTAAGTTAGAAAAGCAATTCGGAAAATTTTTGGAGATTTTGAAAAAGTTACACATCAATATCCCGTTCACTGAAGCTATTTCTCAAATGCCTTCCTATGCTAAGTTCTTGAAAGAGATCCTATCTAACAAAAGGAAGTTGGAAGAATACGAGACTGTGGCCCTTACTGAGGAGTGTAGTGCTATCATCCAGAATAAGCTGCCTCCTAAGCTTAAGGATCCAGGTTCATTTTCTATTCCTTGTGTTATTGGTAATGTTTCTATTAACCGTGCTTTGTGTGATTTAGGTGCAAGCGTAAGTTTGATGCCAATGTCTATTTGTAAGAAGCTTGGCATAGGTGATTTGAAGCCAACCACGATATCACTCCAACTGGCGGATCGATCGGTAAAATATCCGGTAGGTATACTTGAAGATGTACCTATCCAGGTCGGTAAGTTCTTTAGGTTGATTTTGTTATTTTGGAAATAGAAGAAGATTCTAACATTCCAATTATATTAGGAAGACCCTTCCTTGCTAATACAGGTGTCATAATTGATGTTAAAAGTGGAAGGCTCTCTTTAAATATTGAAGGGGAGACGGTAGAATTTGATTTAAGCAATACTATGAAACTCCCTCTAACTGATAAAATTTGTTACAAGGTCGACGTCATTGACAAGTGTACACATGAGCAAATTGCAAACAATAACTCAGCTGATCCACTTGAGAAATGTTTGGTAAGTGATTGTTCAATAAATGATGAAGACCCCGAGGTAGCCGCGTATGCTCAATCTTTAGAATCAACATCAACTGCTCCACTTCGAAATGCAAAGCTTGAAAGATTGATGCTAGAGCCAAAAGGATCTATTTGTGAAAAGGATAATGCGCCAAAGGTAGAATTAAAACCCCTTCCTTCCTCTTTAAGGTATGAATTTCTTAGCCCTGACTCTACTTATCCTGTGATTGTGAATGCATGTCTAAATAAAAATGAAACTGATAAGTTGCTTAGAACACTTAGGGTGCATCGCAAGGTCATAAGATACACCATGGACGAAGTAAAGGAATCAACCCATCAATTTGCATGCATAGAATTCTCTTGGAAGATGATCATAAACCCTCTATAGAGCACCAACGTAGATTAAATCCTAACATGAAGGAAGTGGCTAAAAAAGAGGTGCTTAAGCTACTAGATGCTGGTGTAATCTATCCTATTTCAGATAGTGAATGGGTTAGCCCGGTTCATGTGGTTCTAAAAAAAGGGGGTATGACCGTAGTTAAGAATGCGAATAACGAACTTATCCCTACTAGGACGATTACGGGTTGGAGGATGTGTATTGATTATAGAAAATTGAACAAGGCAACTCGAAAAGATCATTTTCCACTTCCCTTTATAGACCAGATGTTGGAAAGGTTGGCTAGGCATTCCTATTTTTGTTATTTAGATGGCTATTCGGGATTTTTCCAAATCCCTATTCATCCTAGTGACCAAGAAAAGACCACTTTTACATGTCTCTATGGGACCTTTGCTTATAGGCGCATGCCTTTTGGTCTTTCAACGATGTATGATGGCTATTTTCTCTTATTTTATAGAAGACATTATGGACGTGTTTATGGATGACTTCTCTGTGTACGGAACTACTTTTGATGGTTGTTTAGCTAACTTGTCTCGAGTTTTGCAGCGTTGCGAAGAAGTTAATTTAGTCCTAAATTGGGAGAAATGCCATTTTATGCTAAGGGATGGAATAGTTCTAGGATACAAGGTGTCCGAGCAAGGAATTGAAGTTGATCGAGCAAAAGTGGAAATCATTGAAAAATTACCGCCACCAACATCGGTTAGGGGAGTAAGAAGTTTCTTGGGACATGCCGGTTTCTATCAGCGTTTCATCAAAGATTTCTCAAAAATTTCAAAACCCTTAACTAACCTTCTTCTTAAAGATGCTACCTTTGATTTCACTGATGAATGTCTCGATGCTTTTTGCGGGTTGAAAGAAGCATTGATAACAGCTCCTATTATGCAACCGCCGGACTGGAATCTCCCATTTGAAGTCATGACTGATGCAAGTGATTATGCGGTTGGTGCTGTGTTGGGCCAAAGGAAGAACAAGATAGTTCATGCAATTTATTATGCTAGTCGCACTCTTGATGAAGCCCAAGTTAACTACGCTACCACTGAAAAGGAGTTATTAGCAGTTGTTTTCGCCTTTGACAAGTTCAGGTCTTACTTAGTGGGGTCCAAAGTCATCGTTTATACCGATCATTCCGCCATCAAATATCTTTTGAGCAAGTAAGATTCCAAGCCTAGGTTGATTCGATGGATACTACTTTTGCAAGAATTTGACTTAGAGATAAAGGATAAGAAAGGGACAGAAAATTTGGTGGCAGACCATTTGTCGAGGATGAAACCAGAATCACATGATAGGGAGGAGGATGAACTACCGATCGACGAATCTTTCCCAGATGATCAATTGTTAGCCATAGAAAGATTGGATGCACCATGGTATGCATACTTCGTCAACTACATAGTGTGTGGAGTTTTGCCTCCAGATCTGAGCTATCAACAGAAAAAGAAGTTCTTTGCTGACTTGAAGTACTATTTTTGGCATGAACCATTTCTGTACAAATGGTGTGTTGATGGGATGTTCAGAAGGTGTATTCCTGAAGATGAGGTTGCCAGTATTCTCCATCATTGCCACTCATCTTCCTACGGGGGACATGCGAGCACTTCAAAGACAGCTGCAAAAGTTCTACAATCAGGTTTCTATTGGCCGAGTCTTTTCCGGGATACAAATCAGTTTGTGAAATCTTGTGATAATTGTCAGAGGACCGGGAACATTTCGAAGCGACATGATATGCCTTTACACTCCATCTTGGAAATTGAGGTCTTTGATGTGTGGGCAATAGATTTCATGGGACCGTTTCCGTCATCGTGTAACAACAAGTTCATCTTAGTGGCGGTGGACTACGTCTCCAAATGGGTAGAAGCGATAGCATTCCCCACCAACGATGCTAAAGTTGTTGTAAAACTATTCAAGAACGTTATTTTTCCAAGATTTAGGGTGCCACGAACGGTGATTAGTGATGGAGGTTCACAATTCATTGAAAGAAAATTCGAAGCTCTCTTAAGACAATATGGGGTCACTCATAAGGTTGCCACGCCATACCATCCTCAAACTAGTGGTCAAGTGGAGGTTTTGAATCGAGAAATCAAGAGTATCTTGGAGAAAATAGTTAATCGTTCGAGAAAGGACTGGTCTATGAAACCCTCAGATGCTTTATGGGCCTATCGAACTGCCTACAAAACACCCATAGGTATGACACCGTTCAAGTTGGTGTATGGCAAATCGTGCCATCTCCCAGTTGAGTTAGAACACAAGGCGTATTGGGCTACAAGTTGCTCAATTTTGATATGAAGACCGCCGGTGAGAAAAGAAATCTTCAACTTCATGAGCTAGATGAGCTACGTTTAGATTCCTATGAGAATGCTCGCATTTATAAAGAAAAGACTAAACGATGGCATGATAAGAATATCCTTCGAAGAGAGTTTAATCAAGGAGATATGGTGCTACTATTCAACTCTCGTTTGAAGCTTTTTCCGGGCAAGCTTAAGTCTAGGTGGTCCGGACCTTTTCAAATCCGTGAGGTTTTTCCTAGTGGAGTTGTTGAAGTTTGGAGTGAAACAACGGGATCTTTCAAGGTGAATGGGCAACGATTGAAGCACTATATTGTAGGGGAACAACACGAGAAAGTGGTCACTTATACCCTTTCCGATCCCCCTTCGTCGGAGAATTGAGCAAAAAATGGGGTCGAGCTCATGACCATAAATGAGCGCTTCTTGGGAGGCAACCCAAGTTTCCACGCATTCTAGTTCTTTTATTTTATCTCATTTAATTTTATTTTTTTATTATTTATTTTTTAGGCAATTGGATCGGCACAAATTTACTTATACTATTTTCGATCATGCAGTTGTGAAGAAAGGGAGGATATGGCAAAAAAAACTGCTGAAAAAGGAGTTAAAGATGGAGTGGCAGAGCCTACCACACCCAGGGGTGGTGTACGCCACCCCCACGGTCCACAGAAAAAAAATTTCAGACTCTACCACACCCTTCTGCCACACCCGTGGTTCGCTGTAGAGATAGTTGGACACCAAAATCCAGTGCGTACCACACCCGTTCGTCACACCTGTGGTTCGCTAGGTTAAAAAGAAGAAAAAAAACGGAAAAATCCCTCAAAAACCCCACCCCTCTTCTTCGACCTAACCAACCCAAATACCGCCGCCCCCATACTTCATCCCTCCGGACCCTCATCAACCACCCCATCCTTCGTTCTACACACCGCCAGCGACCCAGGTCGTCGCTATCTTCATCGCCGTCCTCATCTTCCTCATCAACCACGACCAATCGGCCGCACCTTCCAGCTCTTTTCGACCCCAGCAGCGGGCGCATCCTCTCACATCTCAAAGCTCGACCCCATCCCTCTCTCCGACAGCATCAATCTCCGCCGCTTTCATCCACGACCGCCGTTCTCATCTTCCCCGACTTTACGATACACATCTCTTCGACCACCGATCGGCTCCTCTCATCATCGCGGAGGTGGTTCTTGGCATTGAAGCTATACACGAAAGCAATTATGTTCACAGAGATTTTGGATTGTGCAAGCTTTCAGATTTTGGATTGTGCAAGAATTTGGATTGCAATAATGAAAGGGATGATGGCATTACGCAAACAGTGAACCGTGAGGGGATTTTTCAGACTGATGTGCAGCAATTTACGGAGACAGTTGCACAAGCCGAACAGTTAGGGCTTTGGAGAAAGAATCTACGAACTTTGGCTTATTCAACTGTCGCCACCCCCGACTATATTGCGCCCGAAAATTTATCAAAGAAGGGGTATGGAATGGAATGTGATTGGTGGTCACTTGGAGCTATTATGTATGAAATGCTCATGGGTTATCCTCCATTTCAGTCTAAGGAAGCTCTGGCAACATGCAGAAAGGTAGTAAATTGGCAATCACATTTGAAATTTCCCGAATACTTGACAATATCTGAGGAAGCTAAAGACCTTATTCAAAGACTGTTGTGTGACATTGAGCGTAGGATTGGCACAGGAAATGTTGAGTAAATAAAGGCTCATCCTTGGTTTGAAGGCATTCAATGGGATAAATTGTATCAGATAAAGGTTGTTTACATACCTGAAGTCAATCATGAATTAGTTACCCAAAACTTTGATAAATTTGATGAGGCGCGGTTAGAGAATGAGAAACAAATTCCTTTAAGACCAGCACCAGGAGATAAGACAATTTCTTCGAAAGACCTGAAATTTGTGGGTTACACATTCAAAAATTTTGAAATCGTCAACAATCATGGGCAACATCAAAAAGCAGATTTGACGAAAAAGAAGAAAAAGGTCCCTTCTGTTAAATCTATCTTCAACGCAAATTGATGTAGTCTTTTCATGAGTGGCAATGCCGCCAGGATGCCATCACTCTGCCTCCTCCTGACCAGTGAGTTGGTATGCCCTCTGCACCCTTGCACTAATTTCTATCTTATTACATTGAGGACAATGTAGATCTTAAGCTTGGGGGTGTGCGTTGTTCATTCATTGGTTGCCCGTCTATAATTGCCTATTTTTCTTTTATTTTAGTTTTTCTTTTGCTTTGTTTCTCCTTTCAAAAAAAAACAAAAACAAAATAGGGAAATGATCTCCTGATGATGACATGAATGCTTAACCTTTATCGATCATTGAACTAGATAGATGCTCATTAATCGGGACTTGACAACTTCTTATACCATCTTTCAACTGATTCTCAAAGGCTTTTGATTACAAGTTAACAATATGGGAGAACCAGACTTGAATGTTCTTTTGTCTTATAGGATTTAGCATGTATGTGGCTAGCATCATAACTATTACTCTATTGAGACAAGAGGGAAATTAAATTTGGTAGACATAAAACCCGTGAGACTTTGAGCCTGAAATTGGATGCATTACATATCCAATCATTATTTTCTTTTCTTGTGTGATATTCTCCAATGGTGTAGGCTACTAGAACTTGCATTGAATCTCTTCAAGGCCACATATAACTTTTGTATGCATAAAAGGTGATTGAGGCACATTTTTGTTTATAGTCC